CAAAAATAATGGAGAAGAATGAATTTGGTTAGAAAATGTTACATCAATTAGTTAACCAAACTGGCATATGTTGTATATATAATTAATTATATGTTTCAATTAATATTTTTGGTCAAATAAATACTGTTACAATTTAATTGAATTTAACTTATTGTTTGTAAAAGTCTTTGAAAGCAGCCTAATATCTGCTTCAATTTTGTTACATTAAACCATAATTTACTAATTTAGTACTTCTAATTTCCTCATATATCTTAAGTATATTAATTTCGTGATTAATGTATTTAATACTATATTTAACTTGCTGACTAGTTCATATTATTAAATTTTCCTTTCACTAGAAAACTTCAAAGGAAAATTAATGTAAAATTGTTTCTCCAGTGTTTGGATATCATCACAGCATCTAGCGTTAAAGTCAAATTAAAAAGATATATGATTGTGTTATATACAAGGTCCAAATATTGTGGTTCAAATTTTTTTACTTAATTTTTTAACATTATTTCCGAATAATATATCATTGCAATTTAACAGTGTTTTAAAATTGTTAGATCATTGGAATCAGTTATAACTCTATGGAATCCAAATTTTAAAATTTTGATTCGAACTTTTGATCAAATCAATTTTCTCTCGACCGTGTTCTATAAAGAATATAGGCTTCATTTGGTTCAAAATTGGGAATACTACATTTAGTATTCCCAAAAAAGTTAAACAGTAAAATACCCAAAAACTCTCATTTTTTGGAATACTACTTTTAATATTATTCAATTTTTTTTAAACCTTCTAAATTTGTTAATTTAATTAAATACCCCTAAACATTTTTTAAAAAATTATAAAAACACCCCAACAATCCACATTTACCAGATTCCGACCACCATCGTCGGAAAATGGCCGGAATCTGATAGGATGGCTTACTACCGGCTGAATCTGGTCGATAATACGCCGATCTAGTATTTTCCGGCCAGATCCACGGTGGATATGGCCGGAAAAGGCCAGATCTAACCCCAAAGATCTGGCCGTTGACGGCCATATGTTTAGCCGTAACAGTTGGTCACGACGACCAACAAACGGTCGTCGTTGACCATCAACGACGACCATTTGTTGGCTGTCGTTGAGAGCAAAGACGGCCAGATCTGGCCGTAGATCTGGCCTTTGCCGGCCAGATCCACAGTGGATCTGGTCGAAAAAGGTCATATCGACGTATGACCGACAAGATCCAGCCGGTCATGCGCCGATAAGGCGACTCTGGCCACCTCCGGTGGTGGTGGCCGGCTGGGGGTATTTGAGGGTGGGTTGGAGGTGTTTTTGTTAACTTTTAATATTTTATTATAGGGGGNAATGATTGAGGTAAACTTTTGGTGGGAAATATGTTATTAACTCTTATTTGTATAAGCTTAGCCTATGCTATATGATCTCTTCTCTTGGTGACAAATACCAATTCATCCTAATATTAAGGAAAATTTCACAATTTACCCTTTAATCATAGTCAAATATCAAGAGGATAAATTCTTTTCTTTTAAATATCTATTGTTTCCAATTAATAACTATCCAAACCTGATAATTTCTGTATATATATATATATAGACACACGAGTAGCTTGTCTAGATACTAATACAAAATAAAATAAAATAAAATAAATTAAAATATCTTATTTGAAAAAAATATGTCCTTTATCAGAAACATTTATCTGTTTGATACTAAGGCAAACCTAGAGGGTGGTTAGAAATATTATGTATTAATTCTATGTGATAGTCATTTTGGACTGTACACAGTAAAGGGCACACTCAAAAGCATGGTTATTAATATCCTACGATACGTATCATACGATATGATTTGATGTAGGTCGTCAACAATACGTATTAGAGAGTATATCCTAAACCTTTGATACGTTGATATGTATCCTATGATACGATACGTATCCGTTTGTATCTTTAAAAATATCGATACAAATTGATACGACTTTATTAATTTGGGCCAAAGGTCCCAAAAAAAATTCAGGTCGAAACTGGGTCACCCAACCCGATTCACTAAAACTTGCCCAAATTTACCCATTTTACATGAAGAAAGTGAAAAAAAATATGTGTTGCCCATTTTGTATGATAATAATAATACAAGTAAAGTTCTAGATATTGATATTAATCTTGAAAATGATATGAATGATTGAGAAAAAAATAATATAGATTCTTAATTTTGTGATTAATTTTGATTATGTAATACCATAATTCAAAATCAATAATATCACAAAATTCTTTAATTGATCTCGGCGATGACATTGATTTTTAAAAAATTTTAATTATTTTATTAATTATTTTATTAATTTTTTAAAAAGACACATCTTACACTACTATACGCGATATACTACTAAAAAAAAATATTAGATTTTCAACCTATGATACGATGAGCGATTTGACGATCTCGCTGGAAAAACATTTAGTTTTGAGTAATTTTAAATTGAAAATTGTTATAAATGGTGGACATCCACCGAAATTGCCACATGTTCAAGATTATGTATGACACGTGACCCTTGTTGTACTACTCAAGTCTCAAGTGACACATGCATTTAAGCAGGTCAATGAATTATCTGTTCAAGTGGGCGGCTCACTACTGTAGATCCTAATTAGTAAATCCCCGTATTATTCATGAATTTTTGTATTTTATCATCTCTATTATTCGTAAACTATATACATTATATATTTTATTTGTGAATTATTCTCATATTTTTTTAGCATCCGAATTATTCCTATAGTTTATAAATATATTTTAACCAATTATTGTATCATACTTATAAAATTCACGTACCATTTTTTTGCTATATCCGTATTGATTTTAATTAAGTGATTTATAAAAAGTGTTAAAACTAGGATTGATATTACTGTATTTTTTAAAATATATTATTGACAATGTAATGTATTAAATGTGTATATACTTGTATCGTATTTTTTTCCATATCTTAATTTTATAACTGAATTTTTAGAAACGTATTTTTTACCATTTACCGTATCATACTTGTGAAATTCCCATACTATTTTTTTGCCGCAACCGTATTTACTACTTAGGCTATAAATAACCACCATTTTTGTTGTAAACATACACATCACAATTAAGGGAAAAGAGTTAATTAAAGTTTCTCATTTCAATCCTCCTTATTTTGTTCTTACATGGCAGTCTTTCTTAGTTTATTTTGTTACAATTACACCATTTTATTTTAGGTCTATAATGAGACTTTTTCTATACTTTTGCAGTACTCGAAAATTCAGTTTAACCAAAAATAATGGAGAAGAATGAATTTGGTTACAAAATGTTACATCAATTAGTTAACCAAACCGGCACATACTGTACGTATAATTAATTATATGTTTCAATTAATATTTTTGGTGAAATAAATGCTGCTGCAACGAGCTTGCTAGCTAGAAAGATGTCATTTATAATTAATTGAATTTAACTTATTGTTTGTAAAAGTCTTTGAAAGCAGCCTAACTAATATCTGCTCCAATTTTGTTACATTAAACCATAATTTAGTACTTCTAATTTCCTCATATATCCTAAGTATATTACTTTCGTGATTAATGTACTAAATACTGTATTTAACTTGCTGACCAGTTCATATTATTAATTTTTCCTTTCACTAGAAAACTTCAAAGGAAAATTGTTTCTCCAGTGTTTGGATATCATCACAACATCTAGCGTTAAAGTCAAATTAAAAAGATATATGATTGTGTTATATGCAAGGTCCAAATATTGTGGTTCAAATTTTTTTACTTAATTTTTTAACATTATTTCCGAATAATATATCATTGCAATTCAACAGTGTTTTAAAATTGTTAGATCATTGGAATTAGTTACAACTCTATGGAATCCAAATTTTAAAATTTTGATTCGATCTTCAGATCAAATCAATTTTCTCTTGTTCGTGTTCTAGAAATAAAGAACGTACTTTTTTTGTTGAAAATATTTTTTTACTAAATATTTGAGATTAAGTCAAGACATAATATGTAATATCCAACATAGCTGGAGAATGAATATGTGATTCAGTTTAACTTAATAGATGTGTTTTGGATAAGGATGCTTACATAAAACTCAAAAGCAAATCTGTATGAGTCTGGGTCTAAGATAGACAATATTTATTCTGTTGGAGCCGAGATTGAGAATTTAAAAATGGTAATTATTACATATTATCATACTAATTAAGTAAATCAAATTCCATCCAACGCTTTATAATTTGTGATGCATTAATTATAATTGTTTAATAAACTGAAATATAATTAATGCTTTAAACTTTTAAAAAATAGGATATGCTAATAATTTCATATAATTTTTTGAAATAATTTTAAAACCTTTAAAATTAATACTTTTTTTTTTTTTTGATTTAGAATAAACTCAATTTATATAATTTTTCAGGTGTATTAATAATATAATAAATTCAGGACTCGTTTGTGAAATTAACCATTTATTATTCAAAAACAATTTTTTTTTTTAAATAAAATCATTTGAAGTTGAATCAAATTTTGTTGTTTTTTCAGAGAGAATTATATAAGGTAAAAATAATTTAGCAAAGCATATATAAAGAGAAACTTAATTAATTTTTTTTGTGTCATCATCAATTTATAATCTCATTTTGATAAATACAAGCATCATTTCATTCAACAATCCATTAACTCTCTGTTCATGCATGCATTTGAAAAAACAAATTATTGCTTGTTAATCAAGCAAAAGATCAATGTCAATAAAGTAAAATTTACATAATAATATCTGTTTATTTAATTATATTTCTAAAATTCATCGTCTTTGTAAATCAAATCACTCTTTTCAGTAAACTGATATAAAATTCAGAAGTTTTTTTTACGATATCATCTTACCTTTATAATATACACACAAACATAAAAACAAAGATTCAGTGGATCTTGAAGTACCGAGTTTCATCAATTAATCAAGAACAAAAGGGCAAAGAAAATAAGACCAAAAGGAAGATTAAATAAAAGAATCAAAATTAGCCTCTTAAATTACATAAACAAGAGAATTAATTATGCAATACCCATGAACATGTCTGTTGATGGTCATCTAACCATATAATATTCTTCACCATCTTCACAAAAAAACACTGTGAAAAACAATAAAATTGAGTAGATGACTATCAACAAACACATCCAAAGCTGCAAAATTTGATCATTGAGAAATTGCAAATTAAAAGAAGAAGAGTTTTAAGCCTATGAATATGTATATAAGTCCTGATATAACGAGAATATGCCTTGGAATTATTCCTTTGAAGAAGCATATGCTTTGAGAATAAACCTTTCTTTGTCTCTCTGACTGGCTGGTAGGAATGAGAGTTGGAATTGACAAGCATGGATTTTCAACATTTGAGAGAGAAGAAGAAAGGGACTATTGGGATACTGTTTCTCGTGTTTAGACTTTTTCAATTTTGTAGAGGTAAGTGAGATATATATATATATATATATAGAGCATATAGCTACCATTATACGTATGCTTCTAGTTTGATTCATTTTTTTTTAAGTATCTGAAGTATTTATATCTACATTGGAGTCTGTCTAATTCTCAGAGTCATTGAATATCCAACAAATTTAACAGACCAAAATAATTGTATAAATATGATAAATACATCTAATGAGACTACATTAATTGGTCGCATGGATTATGTGATAACCTTGTAATATTCATGATTTTTTCGTTGATCATTCTATCTTAGCCCGTGTTCAAGGACATTTATTCTGTGTTCAAGGACATTTATTCTAAGTTAGATAAAATTCGGTCAATAAGATAGTAAGATTCATTAGGATATAGGCCCAAGCCCAAAAATGGTTCTATTGCCGAAATTAGCCCAAAACTATTTCATCCAATATCCAAATATTTACCTTCTGTGTTCCTATCCTCTTGAATATCATTTTTTTTTAATTAATTAAAAAAAGCCTGAAGAATGCCCCACATTGCCACATTGGTATCTTCACCGCTACTTTTGAGATTAATTTTTTAACATAATGTCACAGTTAGTCCTTTGTGCTAGTCAATTTTTGGGAATAATTGAGAAAATTTCATTCCTTTTTTTTTTTTTTTTTAAATAAAACAATAATTTCAATTTGTTTACGTATTACTTGATAATATGAAATATATATACATTTGAAAGGAAATTTAATAGTGGTGTAAAAGTATTCGCGAGAACATCTTAATTGTAGAATGAGAAACAAGAATGGTAAGGTAATAAGACCAAAATTAGTTAGCTGCTAGAAAAAAGATTGTAATTATCAAAACAAAATAACCACAAAGAACAAAGGCCAGCCTTTTGCTAGTCACATAAATATAATACCAATTAATTGCCAACTCTACAGAATCAACAAGTTGAATTCTATTCCCTCAATTAATCAACAAAGAAATTGATAAAACCAAGAACAACAACAACATTATTTGTACGTCAGAACCAATAAAACCTCAGGCTAATTAAGCAGGAAAGGGAAAAATTTATCAAAAAAATTGAATAATAAACATGTTTAGGCACTGCCTGTTTCTGTGCCTGCTTGGCTTTTTAATGAGCCATTACCATTTTAATGGTGCTCAAGGATTGAAGAGTGACAAGCTCTGCAGCCAGTGCTCCAAATGTGATTCAAGTAAATGTCCTGCAAGTGAAGCTTATCCCCACATGACAGGATTTGATAAAAGTCTCATCGCCGGCGCGTTGCAGTCGGATTATGTGGAAGTAGATGACAGGGGAGTTTACTCAGTTCCGGATGTCAAAGGTGGTGAGTCTGAAGAATATAATTCTTATTTTGGATGGAAATCTACTTCTGGTTCTGCTTCTGGCTACCACAGGTTTGGAATTTTTCTTGCTTATAGTACTTGTAAATGTGTGATATTGATCATAACTAAATGCTTGAAGTTAATTAGTTTTACCTTTTAAGCGTTATTATAGATCACTCAATATATTTGTGATACCCGTTTTTAAATAGTATAAGATATTTTAAGTGATTTAATTTAAAAATAAAATTGTTAGGTTAATTTTAAAATGAATAATACAATCTTATTATGTAAGGAGATTTGATATATATACACCCTTGTTTCAATTGCAAAATAAGCCCTATAGAATAGAGCCACAGTGGCCTGCACAGGCAGGCACAGGCCATTATAACTATAGAAATGGCCTTCAAATTTTGATTGCACAGGCAGGCACAGCCACAATAGCTACGGATATCTTCCTGAAATAGAGTAAAATGGCAAAGTTTAGTCCATTAAATACATTACAATACAAGCTGGTTCAGCTAGATAAATCTTTCTCAGGGTTTTTTAAAAGAGCGTATTTGAAACAGTAATTTTATCTGAAAAAAAATTAGGGAAAAAAAACCTGAAACATGGTCTTCAACTTTTTACAGGTTTAGCAACTACATGGACAAGTGCTCTGGTGGGCAAAGCTACCTCACTGTGGACAATAATGGAAAGGTGAGTCTTAGATCATTGACCTCCCTGGAAAGCCTAGCCCAGGCCGACTGGAAATCCATTAACCCACCGAAGAAGCTGAACCACCGCGAGTTCCGATTCTGGGTTTCTAGTAGTACAGGAAAATGCTTGACAGTTTTTCCAGGGAAGAAAAATAAACGAAGTGTCGGTGTGGCTGAGTGCAAGTTTGATGGGTCAAATGTTAACCAGCTTTTCGCCTTTCGGTTCCATTACCACAAAGCCTTTTGTTGCTGTGGTGTTTATAACGAATAATTCTTGGATTGTCCAAAGCCAAAAATACGAATAATATTGTATACTTGTAATACACTTAAAGATTCATGGTTTGGCAATAAAAGATCAAGCCCTTTAGCTAATGTTAAAGGAATTTCAAGATACCAGGCCCAAATAGCTCTCTGCAGCCATCTTGTCAATTTCAAAGTCTTTTGCAAATCTAAAACGATGAAAGATTACTAGACTTTCTTTGCTAATACATGGATATCTATGAAAGAGCGGATATTATAAGAAGGGGATAAGTTTGAAGTTAATTTTGTCAAGGATGGTGCAATGAATTAGCAAACAACAAAGATAGCACTTGACTATACTTTTAGAATTGATAAACAAATCTCAATCACATAACTTAGGTCATAAAGTTTGAAGTAAATCTAAATAATCAATGAATAATTTCAAAAAATGAATGATATGTTTATATAAGGTGGTGAAAGCCAACCCTAACAAGACTCCCAATAAGCAAGAAAATAAAATTCAAATTACTAAAAAAAAAAAGAAATCCCAAAATAAAATAGGAAATACACGTAGAAAACTTAAACGGCCTCGAAACATGCTAAAACGGTGGATTTTGGGCCCGAAAACATCCCTCAACCAGGGATTCAAGTTGTTACATTATAGGGGTTGAAACGAGCTTTTCGTTGATATATTATGGGCCTCGTAACTTCTCCTAGATCAAAAGTTATGGTTGTTTACAGTTGATATGTCCGCATTTGATCTTCTGATGCTTGACCCTATGCAAGAATTCATCTACTAGACGCTTTACGTTATAGGATCATGTTCTGCTTACAATACATGAACACTAATATTAATCTACTACACATCATCATCAGAGTTAATAATCGGAATTTTAACATTGATCTCAAAATTTATCTCAAATATCTCTTTACAAATAAAATGGTGCACCGGTTGTAATGGCATCATCATATTATTTATCAAATCTTTCATTATTTATTTATAATTCGTCGTGCTAACACTCTAACAAACATCTTCTAGAGTATGATATGATATGCACAATTTTCTCTAGAGATATGTAGATTCAAGAAACAATAGGCATGTGACATCCATTTTAATATTGAAAAAAATGGACTTAATTTGCTCTTGGACGAGTTGAATTAATATTGAAGGAATATTATGCACCTGCTAGCTCTATAATCAAATAAACAGTTAATGCCAGCATTTTAACAGCTCATAAAATTACTAGCTTTTAATTAGTTATTGACCAAGACTTCAGTAACAAATTTAGAAAAAATGAAATAAAAATCTTTGGACGAAGAGGCATGTGCCTTCTCTTGAACCATTAATGTTAGATCCGCGTTTGAAGGAAATTAAAATGTTTGTGGACTAAATTCCTGATTAATTAATGAATATAAAATTAATCTATGCACTATGTTCAACGTTAATACGTTGCATAATTATGCATAGATCAAAGAAAAGCAAGGCATGTGACATCCATTAATTAATTAATCAATCTTTTAAAAGGAAAAAATGAGCACATGCTATATCGAGATTGATTCCTTAATTAATAGTTATAATTTAAATAATTGGATTGAGTTCACATGGTCTCAATCCTATTATTTAATTGAATTTTAATCACCGCACTGGTTAATTAAACCTAGTTACCTTCTTAAAGTAAACAAAGCTTAACTAATCAAACTATATATATATAAAAAAAAAAAATAGTAAAATACTGTGGCTACTTAGGCCTGTGACTACTTGTATCTCGAGTCTAATTTTCCGCATTCTTAGACAAAAATTAACCCTCTTTCTTGTTTGCTTTGCTTTCAGACTCATCCTTTGAAGTCTTAGAGTTCTTCCCTTTTGAGAATTTGCAAGAATGGGAGCATTGGGACACTTGAAGAAGAAATGAAGATGTTGAAAGATTAGCTCAGCTCCGTGAGCTTTGCATCGAAAAATGTCCCAAACTTACTAGAGATTTTCCTGACCATCTTCCTTCATTGGAAAGATTTGTTATTTGGGGCTGTCCAAAGTTGGTGGTTTCAGTCTCAAGTCTATTAGAAGAATGCAAAGTAGGTATTGATTTGCTTAATAATGGAGTGATGTGCAGTGACAATTCAATTAATTTTAAAATTCTGGATTCTCGAATGCTTTCAAATATTCCATTGGTTGAAAGTAAATTAAAGCAAGGATCCCAAAGAGTAGAATCTTTAAGGATTGATGGTAGCAATGAGATCACAGATTCATGGTTGAATTTGCCTGATATTGAGAGGTCATCAATACAGGGAGGTATGCATGGTCTCACCTTCCTTAAAGAATTACATTTAAGTAATTGTAAAAATGATTTTGTTTTCTTTGAAAACACCAATTTTCTTCCCAATCTAAGTGTTCTTATGTTCAACACATTCCAATAATATCCTTACCTGGAAGATTGAAGCAAAAGAACCTGGAAACATTGAGAATTTCGGAATGTGATTCTCTCAGATCCATTGATTGTAGCATGCTACCTTCATCTCTAAAAAGGCTTGAGAGAGATTTTTGTGAGAAACTGAAAATTTTGAAGGATTTAAGTACCTCCCTTCTCGAGTACGTAAGAATTGATCAGTGTTATTCTCTCACGTGCACATCACCACATCAATTGCCTGAGACACTCCAAGTTCTTGATATTTCTTACTGCTATGAGCTGAAAACATTATCAAGATGTCAATATTTACCTAAAGCTCTTACATCCCTCTCTATTCAACATTGTATAGAGCTAAAGTCAATCGATGGGTCTTTTGAAAAAAGCACGCGTCTTCAGAATATTAGTTTAGTTGATTGTGAAAACCTTGAATCCATACCTCTAGGTCTACAAAATCTATCTCGATTCGACTCTCTTAGGATAAAAGTATGTCATAAATTGTTGGTTAGAGAAGGTGCTCCCACCAACTTAATTAGACTCGGCCTAGTTGGGGGCTCGAATTCGACAAACCAATGATAGAGTGGGAGTTACAAAACCTTAGAAATTTCTTTATTCGTAATTGTGAAGATGCAACATCCATTTTACAAGAGGACAAGGGAATGCTCACCTCTCTTTCAACATTGACCATAGTGGAATGCCTAAGGATCGCATCCATTCCAAATCTCACCGGCCTCACCTCTCTTACAAAATTGACCATTCAGAGATGCTCAATGCTCGAATCAATTCCAAATATCATCTGCCTCAACCCTCTTATAGAATTCACCATTGAAAAATGTCCAATGCTCAAAACAATTCTAAATCTCACTAGCCTCGCCACTCTTAAACAATTCAAAATCCAGAAATGCCCAATGCTTGAATCAATTCCAAATCAAAGTAGCCTTACCTCTCTTAGATGCTTGTTCATTTATGAATGTGAAAGGCTCAAATCCATTCCAGCCCTAGACAACCTCGAAGAACTAGAAATTATGAAGTGCCCAAAACTCAAATCCCTGCAGCGTTTGTGATCCTCACTTCGGTCTTTATTGGTTTCAAATTGTCCATTGCTAACAAAACAATGGACCAGGGGTAAAAAAAGATATTGCTCAAAGATCGCTCATATTCCCAAAGTTCATATAGATGGAAAATTCATCTTCAATTCAAAGGAGGAAGAAAGCGATTAATCATCTTATTATCCACGATTTGTCATTTCTTAATTCCACCTCTACTATTATCTAGATTCTTATCTAATAGATAATTTTTTGATCTTTCGCCTTAATTTTACAGTGAACCAAGTCATTATCTCATTCAAATTGCCAGACGATCATCAATAAGAATCTATCAGTGGTGGTTTGTGCAGGTAATTTTAAAATTTTTCTTATTATATTTATAGTCAACTTGAATATAATATCTTGTATCTAAAATTCAAATCCAAATTTACTAATTTCATAAATTCACTATCACAAATATTTTTGTTTTAGGTAAGGTAATTGGTTGGCCACCCACTTGGTACAACCCGAACTCAAGACCTCTTGGTCTCATTATTTTTGTTTTGGGCAAAGACATGTTGTTAAATGTATCTGGATTTTTTTATAGCTTATTGAAGGAATCGTTGTTCACTTTCTCTATGGAAACAACTTTATGCAAGATCCCTACACTTACATTAACATTGCAGGAATCATTGGAGGGCTTAAAATTTTCCTTCCCCAACTTCATGTAAGCATATTTGACATTGTTTTTTATATATCTAAACTTTTAACAAGATCACAAATCATTTATGTTTTGCACATCTAATTTCACATTTTGTACCTTTCTCTTGGATTTGCATATGGAGTCCACCAAATGATGAGAAAAAACCCAAGTAATGGACCTCTATATATCCTATTAAAGCAAAACACAGTCAGTGTTCGTTTAACACAAGCATGTTTATGTAGCCTTATTCTTAAATTTTCCTACCATCATTGCCCTTTTATTCTAGGAAAGCATGTCTTCTTAATTTATATTTGTTAATATTCAAGATGAATCCTAAGAATGTCGAGATGAAATCAACACAACTTCAATGGATTGATGTGTCATCTTGGGTGAAAGACTTGAATAAAATTTTCAACTTAAGTCATTTCTGTAGTAGCTTGTGATCAATCAGTTTCTATAGAGGTAAGACATTTCCAACATGGATTAGAAATTCTTGTACATTTTGAGATCTCTGAAACGATGACAAGCACATCTTTTATGTAGGATCATGGAGTAAAAATATCTAAAATCTCATTTCTTGGACTTTTGAGATTAGGAGGTGTTCTACTTATATATTTTGTCAGAGAAGGCTCGTTGGATATGATTAAGTTCAAGTCCTTACCAAATCAATTAAAAGGTCTCACATCTCTTAAGTAATTTCTTAATAGAAATACTCTCAAAGTTGCGTTATTTGCTGTTGGTTTGCCTAGTTGCAACAAAAATATTGATATTTGTTCCTTGTCAATCAATAGCTTGTAGAAAGAAAGAAAAGGGAAGACAGGGAAAGAAATCTCCTGAAGCAAATGGATGAGATTAAAAAACTTTACATCACTTCAGAAATTTGTAAGTTATAATTGTACTCTTGTACCAATCGTTTCACGTATTCTTACAAACGTGTCAATTTCATATTTTATTTTTCTTTGTTTTACAGGTG